TCTGCCAAACACAGGTTTTTTCCACACAGCTCTGGAAAACCACATGTCAAACCAAAAACCAGGGAAAAATACGTAGAGTTGGAAGCGCAGACAGCATTTTACCCAATTATATTAAAGGAAGTTAAAAGACAGGAAAAGATGAATCTGAAACTGCAGTGCTTATCACTGGTACTTTCAGGCTGTGCTCCAAGGCAAAGGAATGGGTGAGGAAATAATCCACTAGAGATCTAACCTTGACCCTAGCCCTGGAACCTGCACAGTTCATGCTCTCAAAGTGTTTACAAAGAGGTATGCTCACAGCCATGCATAACACAAGGCCATTCTAACAACACAACTTTTCCCAAACATACTTTTCCCCTTTGGAGCAAAACAATTATACCAGAGATGAAAGTTTATGAGTAGGTTCCAGCATTTTTTTGAGAATTTGGCTTAATGAATGTCTGTTGAATTCAGCAAAATTAATATGCCCTATCAAAAGAAGAGTTAATTTGCAGGGCTACATTACTGCACACACACCCATTTACAGGTTCTTAGCATTCATCACTTTTACTATAAATCAAGATAATTTTGATATTTAAACAAACAGGTTAATGGGTAGGCAAATAAAACCCCATTGCAATCAAAAGCCTCTATCTAAAGCATTAGCACACACCTATGCATCATAACACAGTAAAATTACTTTACAGGTACACTCTGGATCAATAAAAGCTGAACACAATAAAGAGCTGATGATTATCAAGTGGTGGCACTTAGACATGCTTAGAAACACAGTGTTCCTCTGAAAATTTGACAGCCTTCTGCCAGATCCCAGTTTGGCTGCTTTGCCATACAATGCCTCAAGGATGCAGAGGGGACAAAACCAGAAAAGGAACACATCAAAGGAGCCACCTGCTTTGAAAGACTGTTACCACGTGGCAGGCAATCACTTCCAAGGGAGTGGCAAATTTCTTAGCTTTCCTGCACTGGCTGGTCCTGATACCACAATCAAGGCTCAAGAGTTAATGATTTCCCTCTGAAAGCTGCAGCAGCCAAGCTGCAGGGCTGGGCTCTGTCCTTGATCAACACATGCAACCTGTTATTCATCCAGCCCTACAATATGAAGTACAGAAGCCCCCAGGTGAGGCTTGGAGCACAAGGTCAGTATTTTGTTTACGGTTCATTTTCCTTCTTCCTGCAGGGTTGGTTCATTTACTGAGCTCCAAAGGACTGTATCTTGTTACTGCATCGAGGCTGTAACCAGAGCCAGGTGTTGGCCAGAGCCCAAGCAATCTGCACTCACTGCACAGCCCCTTAACCCTCATCATTCCAAACCAGCACTGCCAGCAGGACACCAAATGTCACACCCAATTCCACAGCATCCTTCATTCTCTACCCATGGTCTCCATCATCTGAGGAAAGGACACAAAGAGCTCGTCCATGCTGTGGAATTCCATCTTTTGAACACCACACCTTTGTCAACAGGTTGATCTGTTGATCATTCCTTTTCCCTCCTAAGCAGAATGCTTTGTTTCTGAAGTGTTTTTAAGACAGATGCTTGTTTACAATTGGCAACTGCTCACAAAAAAAAAGCAGAGACCCCCATAAAGGGATCCTGGACATTAACAAACATGTAGAGCTCCAGAGACTGAGCACATCCATCCTGAGTGAATTCTGGAAGAGCAATTAGTTCCACCTAGATGTGAATCTGTTTTCCACAATTGCCTGCAGCACTCCAGGATGCAGTTAGAGGATGCAATGTATCTGAATTTGCTGCTTAAAGAGGAGGATTCTGTTTTTTGCTGCAAGCATAGTGTTTGGGAATAATTCACAGGTGCTCAGGAACAGGGAATTGTATGGGCCAAAGTCTGTTCTGGAAGAATGCTTCCAGATGACTGATGAAGCTTAAATATTCTCCTTCTCCTGGCACACCTTTTCCCCCAAACAGGTGTATAGAAAAGTCTCTGCCTATCTTGCCAAGAGTAGGCAGAAAACAGTGGTTTGACGTCACAATGTTTGAACTTGAAAAGCTTATTGTGACTTATTACTTGGCAAAAGCATAACCCACAGGAAAGCTGAAGTCCCAACTAGCACTTTATTCTGGTTTCCCCTCTAGTGAGGAACAAGGGCTGTACAGACAGACAGGTGCACCTTACACCAAGGCCAACAAGGACACACTCCTTGGAATCAAGATAAAAACCTGAGGTAAATATAAATACCACAGGAGGGGTAAAAGTATCTTCCCAGTGGGGCTGTTTGAGGCAGGCTCCAAATTCCACTCTCCCCATCACCCAACAGTTTTTACATGATTCCCCACTTTGTCTCCCTTGTCTATACTTGCAACTGACACCAACTGAACCTTCTGTACCTGGTCCTATCCAAGTGCAGAATTCTGCAAAATCACAGGATGCACCAGCAACAAGGAAGCTCCTCCACACAACCTGGCTCAAGTGCCCTGGTCAGCTACTCAAGATAGAATCTCAATGTAGTTCATTCACCACATGCCCAAAGAGGGAAAACAACAGGAAAAAAAAAGCTGAATGCATATTCAGGGCTTGAAATGACTACAATTAGCTGATCAATTGCACTGGTTTTCTCCAGTTCATGCATTTTAAAGGTGTTACTTTCTGTGTACGGTCACATTCAGACCCTGGTAGAGCCCCAGCCATACATAAAGGGGCTGAGATAGCTATTTAAACATGTTTCCAGGTCTCTGATGTCTGACCATGAAACTGCAAGAGCACAACTACAGCACTCTGCTGGGACAAAACACATTCAAGTTACCTGAAAGTGTTAGCAAGTTATAACCAAGGGCCTCACCTTTTGCTGCACTTTGGATTTACAGTAACCACAACACTCACTTGTTGTCATAGATATTGCAAGCTCAAAGCAACGAGGAAGACCGAGGAGAACACTGCCACTTGGTGGAAAATGGGGATAGGAAACATTTGCAACTGCTCCAAGTAAAACTACCTTTACAAAGATGTTCCATCTCCCCCATCCTGAGGGAATTTCTTAACAGCATGGCTGGTGCAAGTCCAGCAGTGCCTCCAGAACTCTGTACAGCCACACAGCTGCTCTGTCACCAGCACAGCCCTGGGCTGCCTTGCAGTGTGCTGTGTTAAGGTGTGCAGCCACCTCTGCCCTGGTGCCAGCTGGCTGTTCTGCTACAATTTAGTATTCAAAAAACCCTAAAAGGCCAAAAAGGACAATTCCCTTTTTCACTTATGTCCAAAGACATCTATTAAGGATGATATGGAAGTCTGAAACTGCTGCAGTTCAGGTTTGCCTCTGCTATTCTTCTCAAGCCCTCACCTTCCATGCCATGTTGGGATGGCAGAATCATATTTTACCTATTTAAAGTTTAACTTTAATTTAAATTATCAGTTCTTGCAGAGTTCCTACTGCAAAGTCTGCCAAGATACCAAATGGTTTTTATTGTTAATACATTCAGTGTTTATTTTGTCCCCACTAAAGCTGAAACACTACTCTGTGGCTATGGGTAGCTCTTCAGAAGCACAAAATGCACCTGGAGAGCAGCACATAGAACTCATTGAAAGCAAGAGGGTTTTTAAACAAGCCAACATGAAATGTCAGCAGCACATTAAAGCAGTAGCCACACAATTCAGTGGTCAGATTGGTAATGCATCATTACTCAGACAAGAGCTACCATAGTCCAGTTTTGTTCTTTCTTCCATTGTCCTGAAGCCCTGCAGCCCTTTCAGAGCAGACAGAAATGCATACAATTGCAACAGGGTCCTACTACAGAGACTGTGGTGATGTACAGCAAAATTTTCTTTTAAGGAAAATGCATCTATTCTTTCACAGCACATATTGGAATCCAGCATTTTTTACAAAAACATCTGGTTCACATGTTTACCAGCCACAAAGGCAAAAATCTAGAGGTAGAAAAAGGATAAAAGTGAGAGAATTACCTTTTCCTCTCTTCCAAAAATAAATTTATTTTTCCTACAACAAGGAAAGGAGACAATACATCCCATCTCCACATGCCTCCTACCTGGATGCCAAAGGCATTCATGGCATTTCATACACTGAGACTTTATCAGCTGACAAGACTTTCAACTGTGTATCACCATAAACCCATAAGGATATTGTGGAGCCTGGAGAAGGTGCTGCTATAAAACTAATTCAAGCAGAACAGCTAAACACATTCATTTGCCTTCATCTCTGTGAAACCCCTGTAAAAAATCACATGCTCTACAGAAATTTCAGCTTGCAGCACAGCCCTCTGGCTTTCATAGCCAAACTGAGAGACTGTCTGCATCCTTGGGGAAGCAGCTGGATAAAATGAAGGCCCTTGCAATTTTCCTCACGCAGTAGCCCACAAGATTGCTTGTATTGCCTGTGGGATTGAACTGGCACAAACATTTGAACACTGCTCTCTATCAAGTCTCAAATGGATTTTATCTTTTGTCTTCCAGCTTTTAGCCTGATCCATGTTCCTGTGTGCTGTTAAACACTTGTTGTTCAGCAAAGATAAGGTCTAATCCCAAGATAAAGATGATTTCAACTATTTATGAGAGCTATTATCTGGGGATCTTATTACTCTTTTTAAACATAACCCTTACAAAACTGCTTCATTCAGACAGCTGCAAACAACTGAATTGATTTTGACACATTTCATGACCTCTAAGAGCGTAAGATCATTTGCTCATTAAGTTGTTCTAAATGAAGTATTCCAACTAACACTGGTCGTAACAGAATTCTGTACTGAATGCTGCATCTCAGATCACTGCAAAATAGGTGAGCTGCTGCCAGAAAACCTACCTCAGGTCTAATGCATAAGATGACTAAACTTCTGCTCACAGACTCAGCCTGTAGCCTGACTGTTAACCACCTTTGGCAGAAGCCAGAACTACAGTCAAAAAAAAGATGTTACAGCTACAAAAGAAAAGTGTGAAACTAGCTACAGAAGATCACAAATGAACACCAAGCCATGCTGTTAAGACTTATTCCTCTTGTACTGAGCTTCCCCCCCACCACACCACCACACTTGCAAATACCTTCAGGTCACCAGCCTCAGGTTTTTCAGTCTCTGAATCGTCATCTTCCTACAAGACAAGAATTTACAGGATTAAGCTTAAAGAGCAGGCTTGGCAAGTAACTGCACTTACAGCAAAGGACTGGCATTCAGCAGCCCAGCAGTAGTCCAAGACCCTTTCCATGGAAGGGAGTTTTGCCCCACCCACTCATAAGCAGAAAACAAGTCCTACAGTCAGAGGAAGAAGTGTTTGTTGGGTTTTGGGGGGATTTGTAGCATCACTCAGTAGCAGATGTCCGCTGCAAACTCATGCGGCTCCAGAATGCTCAGAACTAGACAAGAAGCAACAGAACTGGGGGAAAAAAGCATTTGTCATTGGAGAGTTCTGTCCCTTCCAGCTGGCAGGTGGCTCCTTCTGCTTGTCCCTGTTTAGCACCCACAGAAAAAGCAGCATTTGCAAGACCTGTGATACTCCCAAGCATCAGCAACACACACAGGACACACAGCTGGCCTGTCACCAAACCAGACATGCAGGCTTGGAGAGGGTCTGGCCTCTCGAATCCAAGTTCCAAGGATTTGGTGATGTCAGCAGGCACTGCATCTTTCTCATTGGTGTAGAGCTCTCATAGCATCACTTGCAGATGATGTGAACCTTCACAGAAGGGAAACACTGACAAATTTCAGTGTTCTAGGTAACAGACTCCATTTTTTTTTCATTTCTAGGCAGAAATAAATCAAAGAACTGGGCAAATTTCTGCCCTGTGAGAGCTTAAAATACTGAACACAGCCTTGTGTGAAAATCTACACCACATGAGGAGTGAGCTCATTTTGATCCCTGCTGGCAGGTAAACCTCCTGTCCCACTGCCCTGTGAGCTCCTTCACTGGGGACCACACAGGGACACATGTTTCTAGATATAAACACATACTCTGGGTTCAAAACAAGTTTGAGGAGCAGAAAATGTTTTTCATGCTCACAGAACTCAGCAGAATATTTTTTCCTCCAAGTGCCATCACAAATCTCAGCTTTGGCCCCAAACAAGAACTTGGTGTTTCAGCTTCAAACAGGAAAACAGACAAAGTAGTGACAGGAGAAGTGCAACTGAAAGGAAGAGTTTATAAGGAATTGCCTACCTCAGAGTATTAGCACATGAGCAAGTTCTGACAAAGCAAACTAGAGACTGACCACACAGTCATGTCAGTAAGTTTTAATTGCCTGAATTAAGATGCCTGTCCCACAGAGATGAGACACCAAACTCCATCCCTTCAGCTGCTCTCCAGCTTTCCTTGCTTAAAGATGCACACATGACAATAATTCAGTCTTGACTGTCAATGTTTAATTACAGTGAGTTTGTAATTAGGAATGAACCACAGTACCAGATGACTTGTTGTCTATCACAAATGAGATTTCTCTACGCCCCCACAATCCCACCTGTATTACAAAGATAACAGTAATTTTCATCAAAGCAATAATGAGTTGAATTATTCATGTTGTAGACAGGTAACTGAAACATCTCCCAGAACCTCCTAACCTAGCAGGGAATATTGCTCAAACTTTAAGAAACGAAGCAGCATTACTCAGAACTGCCTTTGGAAAAAAACCCAGAGGCATTTCAGTCACTGTTAAAGGAGATAATTTACCCACAGAGCTATTCAGACCAAATCCCAGGACAACCTGAGTCCAGCCTGCCCTGTTTAGTTCTAAACACAACTCACAACCAATATAAGCTACATGCACAAGCATTGACAAAGAAGCTTCATTTCTGCTCAAAGAACACTTAATGTAAAAAAACAGGCATTGCTCTCCTGGACAAGTGCAGAGCACTCACCTGTGTAACTTGCACTGTAACCACACATCTGTGCAAGATCCACTCCCTGACACCACAGTGACTGACCAACTGCCACTAGTGAACATCAGCTTGTACCTCCTAGAAGATGGGACCGTTACAACCTGCACTGAAAATGGGGCATGCAATAAAGCTGCTCCATTGACACAGCCATTTTCAATGCTAACTAACACAGCTGATCCTGGCAAGCACCTGCAGCACACCTAGGGCTTTCTCTGAACTCGAGAGACCTCATTGAAAGAGAGTCTGGAAGTGGTGGATATAAGAGGAATCACTAAAGCAGTAAATAAGCTTCACTGCTTTGCTAAGCAATGGAAAAGAGGCAAGAACAAGAGACTGACAAACTTGTCTGCCACTTGGAAAAACAAGTAGCAGAAACTGTGAGTGTCTCCTAAGAGACTGATCTAATGCACACAAAGGCAATTACAATAAGACAAGGTTATAGCAACAGCCCTGGGTTTATACTGCATGGTAGAGAAAAGAACTAGCATGGACAAGATGATGTGGTGGTAAGTAAAAGGTTGATGAGAAAGAAAGAAGATTAGAACCTCTCCCCCTCCCTCTAAACTTATTGTTTTGCTCCTACAGACACAAGACAGAAGTACATATCCTCCTATGTGTTACAGCTGCACTCACAAGCTGTGAGCTTCATGCCTTGTCCCACAAGGCATCAGTTATTTCAGCATTCAGGTGATGTTAGCCACATGCCACACACCTAGGACAGACAAAAGCCACTCACATGGAGACAGGACACTGTTACATCAAGGTAACCTGATGTAGTGAGTGGATTGAGTTATACACAAAAGAACAAGTTAAGACATCACAGAACTTTATTCTTTTTAATCCACCAGCTGACAGTGTGGTCCTCTTGCAAGGTTCTCATGTATGTCAGCTATGCTCAAAGAATAACTTCTGTTTGGTGTGGCTATTGACTTGTGTGGATGTGGCTTGTTGACAACCTTTTTCCCATGAAAGAGTCAAACAACATCAACACAGTCAGTTACAAACAACACAAGCTGTGCCAAGCTGCTGATGGGCTTCAAGGCAAATGCTTTCTGCTTGGAAACAGAGTGAACAGAAGTCCATGGAAAGTGCAGAAACACACACACAGGAGTCAGATATTCCGGGTTCCATCATGGGTTGCTACTCAGGGGCTTTTGTCGAAAGAGAAAAATCTCTGCAACGTATGAAAGGAGTCACGGGAACCTCTCGGCGCAGGGCGGTACTTACTGACTGCCTGCTGTTCTCATCGTCCTCCTCTTCATACCCTTCCTCGTCCCCATCCAGCCGGGTAAAGTCATCTTCTCCGTACCCAACCGACACCAGGCCTCCTTTCTCGCCTGAGGAGGAGGAGGACGAGAAAGGGAAAACCGTGAGGAAAGGGAAGGTGGCAACGAGCGGGACCTTCCCCTCTGTGCGGGGCAAGTGTCTGCCCGGCGCGGGCCGCGCGG